CCAACTGATGACATAGTCAGGAGACAAGGTGGAAATGCCTATATATATATATATATATATACACACACACACACCATATATATGGTAATGGTTTCCTCTTGACAATAAGTCTAATCATGTCCAACTCTGGGGGGTTGGGGCTCATCTCCATTTCTAAGCCAAAGAGGCAGTGTTGTTCGTAGATACCTCCTGGGTCATGTGGCCAGCATGACTGCATGGAGCGTCATTACCTTCCTGCCTATGCAGTACCTATTGATCTACTCACATCTTGGGGCTACATGTTAAGTTGGCAAGAGCTAGGGCTAACAACGGGAGGTCACCCATCTGCCAACCTTCCGATCAGCAGGTTCTGCAGCTTAGCGGATACACACACACACACACTTTAATCCTTATGTATTTTTTTCTATGAAGATCATCTCTTTGTAGTATTAAGGGAAAGTGCCAGACTCAGGGTCACATCACACTTCAACCCTTTAACCTAGATGTTGTTGCTTTATCTGCCTTTACGTTGTTTCTGATTTATGGTGGTTGCAATGTCAACCTATTTCTTTGCAATCTCTATTCAGAAGGAGGTTGCCTTTGTCATTCTCTGAGGCCGAGAGAATGTGAGTTGCCCAAGGTCATCCAGTGGGTATCCAAATCTGAGCAGAGATTCAAGCAAGCAAATCTCATGGAGCACCATTTATAAAAGACCTAGGGTGTGTTGTGTATTATTATTTATTTACTGCATTTATATACTGCTTTTCTCACCCCTGAGGGGACTCAAAAGTGGTTTCCAACATAATAAGGGCAAAATTCAATGCCATACATACACGTGAAAACCAAAACATAAAATCTAGACAATCTATATAAATAAAAATGTAATGTTTGTTTGTGGGATTAACAGACCTCAAAAAACCACTGGGGGAATTGACACCAAATTTGGACACAAGACACCTAACAACCCAATGTATGTCCTTCACTCAAAATTTTGTCATTTGGGATTTATAGTTCACCTACAATCAAAGAACATTCTGAACCTCACCAACGATGGAATTGAACCAAACTTGGCACACGGTTCTCCCATGACCAACAGAAAATACTGGAAGAGTTTGGTAGGCAGAGTCCTTTGGTTTTGGAGTTGTAGTTCACCTACATCCAGAGATCACTGTAGACTCAAACAATGAGGGATCTGGACCAAACTCTACATGAATACGCAATATGCTCAAATGTGAGCACTGGTGGAATTTGGGGGAAATAGAATCTTGACATTTGGGAGTTGTAGTTGCTGGGATTTATAGTTTACCTACAATCAAAGAGCATTCTGAATCGCACCAATGATAGAATTGGGCCAAACCTCCCACACAGAACCCCCATGTGGGCCACAGCAACGTGTGGCAGGGGCCGGCTAGTAATATATAACGATAAATTAAAAACATTAACCATATAAACAACATTTAGAATTAAGACTTAGAATTAAAATATCTTAGTATAAACATTAAAATCACATAATCCAAAATCCTAATCCGAAGCCATTCCAATTATCAGATGCACATCTTCCCTACTCAGTTCTTGAACTGCTCACTGACCAAAGGCTTGGTCCCCCAACCATGTCTTTGCTCTCTTTCTGAAGGCCAAGAGGGAGAGTGCTGATCGAATGTCACTGGGGAGGGAGTTCCACAGCTGAGATGCCACCACTGAGAAGGCCCTGTCTCTCGTCCCCATCAATCGCACCTGCGAAGGAGGTGGGATCAAGAGCAGGGCCTCCCAGTGGGACCAATGTTACCAGTGGGATTCTTATTGTGGATGGGATTTGAATTCAGTTAGGCACTCTACAGCACACATACTGTATCCACTATGCTAGAAAGCCACAGAATGCAAGTGATGGGAAGGAACAAGAACACCGAAAAGGAACCGAGACTCCGATGTGTATGTTTTACTCTTGCCTCCTTTCCCAGTTTCCATTAAACTTCTTCCTTGGCATCTTGTGCTTACAGGGGAGTCAGAATGTGCTTCTTTCAGCAAATTTCAATTGCATTAAAAAAAAAAACCAACAATCGTGGATGTAATTTGTGCATTAGGGAGGAAGGTATGTTACTTTCAGCCCACACAGCTGCCGGGGAGCCAGATCTATTAACTCTTCTTGGAGACACACAGTACAGCTGCTTACAATACATATGCATACAAACAAAGCAGGAAGAAATGAGGCCAAGGAATCATAGAATCATAGTGCTGGAAGAGATCACATGGGACATCTAGTCTAATCCCCTGCCACGCAGGAAAAGCATAGGAGATAGAGACTGACGTGGATCTACACAAGGTCATTATTTCAAGATAGTGGCACAACTGTCAAAAAGATGTGCCAAATAAGTGTCACGATTCTCAGAAGAATTAGCCACAATCCTGTAAATTGGAGGTGATGATTATCCAATGTAAAAGGCTCCCTTTTACATTACCATATGGAGGATTTCAAGATACTGTCACAATGGTCAGAAGGATGCTCCAGATAAGTGTCACAATTGTTGGAAGGATTAGCTACAATCCTGGAAATTCTTTGGGTAAATTGGAGATGATGGGTTGCAGGAGGCTCAGGCCCCTTCTACACTGCCATATAAAATCCAGTTTATCTGCTTTGAACTGGATTATATGGCAGTGTAGACTCAAAACCCTTCCACACAGTCATATCACCCAGAATATCAAGGCCGATAATCCACAATATATGCTTTGAACTGGGGGACCTTCCACATAGCCCTATATCCCAGAATATCAAGGCGGAAAATCCCACAATATCTGTTTTGAACTGAGTTATCTGAGTCCACACTCAGATAATGTGGGATTTTCTGCCTTGATATTCTGGGATATAGGGTTATCTGAGGTTCCTTCCACACAGCTGAACAAAATTTCACATTGTCTGCTATAAACTGGAATATATGGCAGTGCGGACTCAGATAAGCCAGTCCAAAGTAGATATTGTGTTGGTGTTCTGTCTTGATATTCTGAGGGCCCTTCCAGGCAGCCGTATATCCCAGAATATCAAGGCAGAAAATCCCACAATATCTGCTTTGAACTGTATCTGAGTCTACACTGCAACATATCCCAATACAATGCACATATTGTGGGATTTTCTGCCTTGGGATATAGGGCTGTGTGAAAGGGCCCTGGGTTATATAATCCAGTTGAAAGCAGATAATGGGGGTTTTTATACAGCTGTGTGGAAGGGGCCTGATATAATCCAGTTCAAAGTCTGGGGGTGGTGACGGTTGACAGGGAGCTCTGGCGTGGGCTGGTTCATGGGATCAGGAAGAGTCGGAAATGACTGAACGAATGAACAACAACATCAACAACAAATATAGTAATATAATGGTATAGAACAATATAGCAATATAGACCTCACAACCTAGAATCATAGAGTTGGGAGAGACCTCATGGGCCATCCAGTCCAACCCCCTGCCAAGAAGCAGGAAAATTGCATTCAAAGCACTCCTGACAGATGGCCATCCAGCCTCTGTTTAAAAGCCTCCACTCTGGGGCAGAGAGTTCCATTGCTGGACAGCTCTCACAGTCAGGAAGTTCTTCCTACTGTTCAGATGGAAAGTCTTTTCTTGTAGTTTGAAGCCATTGTTCCGTGTTCTAGTCTCCAGGGCAGCAGAAAACAAGCTTCCTCCCTCCTCCCTGTGACTTCCTCTCGCATATTTATACATGGCTATCATGTCTCCTCTCAGCCTTCTCTGAGGATGTTTCCATAGATGCAGGTGAAACGTCAGGAGGGAATGCTTCTAGAACATGGCCATATAACCCAAAAAACCTACAACAACTCAATATAGTAATGTATAATACTGATATTGTGCCATGCTAATAATATAATATATTGTATGTATATATATCATGTAAGCTGCTCTGGGTCCTCTTCGGGGTGAAAAGGGAAGCATATAAATGTCATAAATATATAAATAAATAATGTGTATTATCTGCAGTGTTGGGGGTGCTTTGAACATGATTGTCCTGCTTCTTGGCAGAATGGGGTTGGACTGGATGGCCCATGAGGTCTCTTCCAACTCTATGATTCTACGATTCTATATCTTGTAAGCTGCTCTGAGTCCCCTTCAGGGTGAGAAGGGTGGCATATAAATGTCATAAATACACAAATAATGTGGATTATGTGCTTTCATAATATTGATTTTATGGAAGTGTTGGGGGTGCTTTGAACGCGACTGTCCTGCTTCTTGGCCGGGGGTTGGACTGGATGCCCCATGAGGTCTCTTCCAACTCTATGAGTCTATGATTCTATGAAGGGGCCTCAAAGTAGTTGTCAGGGTTTGAATCACTCCCTAGCCTTGAAAGCCAGGGCCCTTCCACATAGCCATATAACCCAGGATATCAAAGCAGAACATCCCACAATATCTGCTTTGTATTGGGTTGCCATGCAGTCATGCTGGCCACATGACCTTGGAGGTGTCTATGGACAATGCCGGCTCTCTTCGGCTTAGAAATGGAGATGAGCACCAACCTCCAGAGTCGGACACGGCTGGACTTAATGTTAGGGGAAAACCTGGCATTAGCTGAGTCCACACTGTCATACAACACAGTTCAAAGCAGATAATGTGGGATTTTATACAGTTGTGTGGAAAGGAGCACCACTAGCAAGTCGCACTACCCAGCCTCAGAAGAAGTCATGGGTTGGAGATGACCTGAAAGAACTAACAACAAAACAACAAGCCTGGTATGAGAGAAGGTGCCAATCCATCAGTTCCTGGCCATGAAAGCGGTCACTCAAATTCAAAAAAGAGGAGGAGGAGGAGGAGGAGAAAAGGAGGCGGGAGAGAGAGAAGAAACTCACAGTTGGGATCAAGAGCCAGGAATGAAAGGAAAAAGTCGCAACTGGCGACAAGAGCTGCCCGCAGATGGAAATGGGGGTCCTCCAGGAGGCAAAGGGAAGTGGGGAAGGGGGTTCCATGGATGACACTGCCCAGCCCGCGACTATTCCGCGAGGAAAGAGGAGGAGAGGCAAAGCCCCGACTTACCCGGCGAAGGGAACAAGTCCATCTCGACCTTCTCGGTCTTGATGAGGGTCAGGGTGGGCTTGAGGTCCACCGCCGCCTTCATGGTGGCCAAGGGTCCAAGGCTGGGCGAGGGGAGGGGGCTGAGTCCTGGGGAGCCCCCCGCTCCCGTCCCAAAAGAGTTGGGGGAGAAAAGACCTTGCTTCTTTCTTCTCCTCTTCCTCCTCCACTTGCCTCCAATTCCTCCAAGAGGCTGCGTCTCCTCTCTCTCTCTCTTTCTCCCTCTTCTTCCTCTCTGCCTTCCGCGTTCCCTTCTTTCTTCCAGGGCGTTTCTCCCAGGCTGGGCTCGAGGAGCGCTCTCTTTCTCTCTCTTTCTTTCTCTTTCTCAATCCCTCTCTCTTTCTCCGAGGAGGAGGAGGAGAAGGGCGGCGAGTGCGTGGGCCGGGCTCTGCTCGGGGACAGCCCTTCCTCCCCGCCCCGAAGGCTCCCTCCCAAAAAAGTCCGCGGTCCCACCAGCCAAGCTCTCTCGCCTCCCCAAAACTACAGATCCCATTTCGAATGAGCGACACTCAACCAGTCCTTCCCTGCAATGGATGCCCGCCGCATCTGCTGACACCATCCAAGGCTCTGTCCTCGTCCTCTTGTGTATGTTCTCCATCAATGTTCAACATTTACACAAATGACCAGCCATTGCCAAAAGGGACAGAGAGTTTCATCTATGCTGATGATCGTGCCATCACCACTCAAGCTGAGAGCTTTGAGATGGTTTAACAGAAGCTCTCCAAAGCTAGGTGCTCTTCCTGCCTATTACAGGGGAAGCCAGCTGATTCCTAATCCATCTAAAACACAGACATGTGCTTTTCACCTCAAGAACAGACAAGCACCCCCAGCTCTGAGGATTACCTGGGAAGGAATCCCACTGGAGCAGCGTTTCTCAACCTGGGGTTCGGGACCCCTGGGGGGGGGGTTGCAAGGGGGTGTCAGAGGGGTCACCAAAGACCATCAGAAAACCCTACCAATTCAATCGTTGGTAGGGTTCAGAATGCTCTTTGATTGTAGGTGAACTATAAATCCCAGCAACTACCACATGTCAAAGTCTGTTTTCCCCAAATTCCATCAGTGTTCACATCTGGGCACATTGGGAATTTGTTCCAAGTTTAGTTCAGATCCAGGCCCATAGCCAGGATTTTGATTCGGGGGGGGGGGGCTGAGTTTGTTTCGGGGGGGGGGGCTGAGTCTGAGTGAAAGAGGGTCTACTCTAGCAAACCTTTTGTATCGTTACCCCAATACCCCCATGCATATGGGATATATTGAGCATGGTGATCAGATCATGATATGAATAAACATAACAGTTTAAATAATGTACCAGTAAGGCCTTCTCGCAGACCACCATGAGAATTTCGGGGGCGGGGGCTGAAACCCCTCAAGCCCCCTCCCTCCCCCGGGTACATGCCTGTTCAGATCTCTCATTGTTTGAGTCCACAGTGCTTTTTCGATGTAGGTGAACTACAATTCCAAAACTCAAGGTCCATGCCCACCAAACTCTTCCAGGTTGGTCATGGAAATTCTGTGTGCAAGTTTAGTTCAATTCCATCATTGTTGGAGTTGAGAATGCTCTTTGATTATAGGTGAACTATAAATCCCAGCAACTACAACTCCCAAGTGACAAAAACAACCCCCCTCAACCCCATTTGGGTGTATTGGGCATTTGTGCCAAATTTGGTTCAGTGAATGAAAATACATCCTGCATATCTGATATTTACATTAGGATTCATAACAGTAGCAAAATTACAGTTATGAATTAGCAATGAAAATAATGTTATGGTTGGGGTCACCACAACATGAGGAACTGTATTAAGGGGTCTCGTCATTCAAAAGATTGAGAACCACTGCTCTAGGTGCTCTTACTGCCTATTACAGGGAAAACCAGCTGATCCCTAATCCATCTAAAACAGGGACATGTGCTTTTTCACCTTAAGAACAGACAAGCATCCCGAGCTCTGAATATGACCTGGGAAGGAATCCCACTGGAGCATTGCAGCGCACCCAAATACCTGGGAGTCACCCTGGACTGTGCTCTGACCTACAAGAAGCACTGCCTGAATACCAAGCAAAAAATGGGCACTAGAAACAATATCATATGAAAGCTGACTGGCACAGCCTGGGGATCACAACCGGATACAGTGAAGACGTCAGCCCTTGTGCTATGCTACTCTGCTGCTGAGTATGCATGCCCAGTGTGGAACACATCTCACCACGCTAAAACAGTGGATGTGGCTCTTAATGAGACATGCCACATTATCACAGGGTGTCTGCACCCTACACCACTGGAGAAATAACACTGTTTAGCCAGTATTGCACCACCTGACATCAGCCAGGGAGTAGCAACCAATAGTGAAAGGACCAAGGCAGTGACATCTCCAGCCTACCCCCTGTTTGGGTATCAGCCAGCATGCCAACAACTTAAATCAAGAAATAGTTTGCTAAGATCCACAGAGACACTTGCTGGAACACCTCAGCAAGTGAGAGTCCAAAAGTGGCAGGCTCAAGCCCAGAACACATCTCACCACACTAAAACAGTGGATACGGCTCTTAATGAGACATGCCGCATTATCACGGGGTGTCTGCGCCCTACACCACTGGAGAAATAACACTGTTTAGCTGGTATTGCACCACCTGACATCCACCGGGGAGTAGCAACCAATAGTGAAAGGACCGAGGCAGTGACATCTCTAGCCCACCCCTTGTTCGGGTATCAGCCAGCATGCCAACGCCTTAAATCAAGAAATAGTTTTCCAACGTCTACAGAGACACTCGCTGGAAAACCTCAGCAAACGAGAGTCCAAAAGTGGCAGGCTCAAACCGAGAACTTCAATCAGTGGCTGATACCAAATGAGAGACTCCCCCCTGGACACAAAGAAAACTGGGTAATTTGGAAGGCGCAGAACAGACTGCGCTCTGGCACCACGAGATGCAGAGCCAGCCTTAAGAAATGGGGCTACAAAGTGGAATCCACGACATGCGAGTGTGGAGAAGAGCAAACCACAGACCACCTACTGCAATGCAACCTGAGCCCTGCCACATGCACAATTGAGGACCTTCTTGCAGCAACACCAGAGGCACTCCAAGTGGCCAGCTACTGGTCAAAGGACATTTAATAGAATACCAAGTCTGCAAACTTTGTGTTTTGTTTGTTTGTTTGTTTTTAATGCAATACAACTGTTTTGGTTCATTCCTGACATGATAAATAAATACCACCAGCTCAATTTGCTTACATTGTACCAAGAGACCTACAGGTCTTACAATGTGATTCTAATCCCCTAATACAGCGTTTCTCAACCTGGAGATCGGGACCCCTTGAGGGGTTCACGAGGGGGTGTCAGAGGGGTCTCCAAAGACCATCAGAAAACGCAGTATTTTCTGTTGGTCATGGGAGTTCTGTGTAGGAAGTTTGGCCCAATTATATCATTGGTGGGGTTCAGAATGCTCTTTGATTGTAGTTGAACTATAAATCCCAGTAATTGCAACTCCCAAATGTCAAAGTCTATTTTCTCCAAACTCCACCAGTGTTCACATTTGGCATTTTGAGTATTCATGCCAAGTTTGGTCCAGATCTGTCATTAATTGAGTTCCCAGTGCTCTCAGGATGTAGGTGTACTGCAAATCCAAACCTCAGGGTCAATGCCCACTAAACCCTTCCAGTATTTTCTGTTGGTCATGGGAGTTGTGTGTGCCAAGTTTGGTTCAATTCAATTCAAGCACTTTCTACAGAGTCTACTGTGAACACTCCACTTTCTTGCTAAGAGAGTTGTGCGAGTGGATGCTATTGAGAAACCTTTTACTGTGCCCAAATTTTTCATGATTTATCATTGGGGATGGAGACCCATAGTTTGAGAAACAGTGTGATATATACACTCTGGTCCAAACATACTAGCCAGTTATAATGACACTTTGAATCATATGGTTTCACCTGCAGCCCCTGGCAGCGCAATGGATTAAACCCTTGTGCTGGCAGGACTGCTGACCAAAATGTTGGTGGTTTGAATCCTGGGAGTGGGGTGAGCTCCCATCTGTCAACTACTGCTTCTCATACAGGGACCTGAGAGAAGCCTCCCACAGGATGGTGTAACATCCAAACATCCTTGCAGACAGCCAATTTTCTCACACTAGAAGCAACTTGCAGTTCCATTTCTCAAGTCGCTCCTGACACAAAGAAAAAAATCTGCAGGCATACATCTTTTCATGGATGCTAGGGTATTTTTTATAATTACATTCCATGATATATAGTAAAAAGGTCACTAAGAATTCCATATGGTATAGCATGGGAGGGAGTCCATGGGGATGACATCAATAGTTACTGCACTGGGTGACACCAACCCTAGTGACACCCTGGTAACTAATATGATTCATGTCAACAGATGTTGTACATCCCATATACACGCCCAATAGCATTTATTAGAAAGATTTGAGTATAAGGCTTGGAAAGATGTGAGCCAACCCTAACTGGGATCGCCTTCCACCTGGAAATTGATGTCATCACTGCAGGAGAACATGCAGATCAAGAAGAGGACTCCACAGCAACCTATGAATCCACTGTCAAGACACTACACTTGGAGGATCATCATCCTCGGGCTACCAGACATTGCCTAAGGAAGTACGGGTCTTATCACACTGGAGAAAACATCCACTTAAAATCTGGTTTCTGCCTCCTGCAGAATTTTGGGGTTTGTAGTTTAGTGAGGCTTTTAAAGACTTTTCCCTAAACTACAAACCCCAGAATTCCACAGGAGACAGAAACTGGATTTTAAGTGGATTTTTTCTCTAGTGTGATGAGACACTTAGTAAGGGGGACACCAACCCTAGTGGCAACCTGGAAACTAATATGTGTCAATTCAACAGACGTTCTACGTCACATAGATACACAATGGGGGACGCCTGGCTCGAGAGCAGTACATGTGAAAAAGATCTTGGAGTCCTCGTGGACAACAAGTTAAACATGAGCCAACAATGTGATGTGGCGGCAAAAAAAGCCAATAGGATTTTGGCCTGCATCAATAGGAGCATAGTGTCTAGATCGAGGGAAGTAATGCTACCCCTCTATTCCGCTTTGGTTAGACCACACCTGGAATATTGTGTCCAGTTCTGGGAACTACAATTGAAGAGAGATATTGACAAGCTGGAATGTGTCCAGAGGAGGGCGACTAAAATGATCAAAGGTCTGGAGAACAAACCCTATGAGGAGCAGCTTAAGGAGCTGGGCATGTTTACCCTGAAGAAGAGAAGGCTGAGAGGAGATATGATAACCATGTATAAATATGTGACAGGAAGTCACAGGGAGGAGGGAGCAACTTGTTTTCTGCTTCCCTGGAGACTAGGACACGGAACAATGGCTTCAAACTACAAGAAAGGAGATTCCATCTGAACATGAGGAAGAACTTCCTGACTGTGAGAGCCGTTCAGCAGTGGAATTCTCTGCCCTGGAGTGTGGTGGAGGCTCCTTCTTTGGAAGCTTTTAAACAGAGGCTGGATGGTCATCTGTCAGGGGTGCTTTGAATGCAATATTCGTGCTTCTTGGCAGGGGGTTGGACTGGATGGCCCACGAGGTCTCTTCCAACTCTTTGATTCTATGATTCTATGATTCTATAACATATAATGATTTAGT